TAATTTTTGATTTATTGTAGAGATGAGGTCTCTCAAGTTGCCCAAGCGGGTCTTCAACCCACAGGCTCAGGCAATCCACTCACCTCGGCCTCCCAAAGTGCTGGGATTACAGGCTGAGCCACCAAGCCCAGCCTCCTTATTTTCTTAAGAAACACATATTCCATAAATATTTCTGTTATTTTCGAGCTTGGCCCTCTTCACAAATGTTGCAATGCACATAGGCATTGGATACTTCTTATTGACACTGATTTTATTTCTTTTGGCTGTATACCCAGAAAAGGGATATCTGTGTTATGTGGCAGTTTGTTTTTATTTTTTAAAAACTGTTGGTAATGATTTTTTATGAGTCTGCCAATTTTAAACTCACCAATAATATGCAGGATTTCCTTTTCTTCACATCCTTATCAAAAGTTCTCTCTTTCCTGGTTGATATTAGCCATTCTTTTATTTATTTATTTATTTTTGAGTTGGAGTCTCACTTTGTCACCCAGACTAGAGTGCAGTGGCCGCTCCTGGCCACCGCAACCTCTACCTGCTGGGCTCCAGCGATCCTTCTGCCTCAGCCTTCCAAATAACTGGAACTACAGGCGGGCGCTGCCATGCCTGACTAATGTTTGATTTACTGCAGAGATGAGGTCTTGCCAAGTTGTCCAGGCAGGTCTTGAACTCGCGGGCCCAGGCAATCCACTCACCTCAGCCTCCCAAAGGTGCAGGATTACAGACTGAGCCACTGAGCCTGGCTGATGTTAGCCATTCTAATAGCTGTGAGGTAATATACCATCATTGTGTTTATTTGATATTACTTCTATTGGTGATGTTCATTGCCAATTCATATACCTATTGCCAATTTGTATTTCCTCATTGGAAAAAAACTGTTCATTTTTGGGCTATTTTTTATTCAAGTGATTATCATTTTCTTGCTTTTGCTTTGATTTTTATATTTTTCTTGTATATTTTGGATATTAACATCTCATCAAGTATATGGTTTGCAGTTGTTTTCTCTTGTTCTGTAAGCCTCCTTTCTTTTTCCTTTACTATATAGAAGCTTCAGAGTTTGATGTCTCCAACTTGTTTACATTTACTTTTCTTCCTGTAGTCATAAAAAAATTATTATTAAGACCAATATCAATATCAAGAATGTTTTCCAAATCCTTTTTATGTTTATGTTTTATCAACCATCTTCTCTGTCACCCAGGTAGGAGTGTGGTGGCTCAAGTAAGGGTCACTATGACCTTAAGCTTCTTGACTCAGGTGATCACTCCCCTTCAGTCTCCTAAGTACTGGGATTACAGTCAGCACAAAACTTTGATAATAGCTTGTCTGATTGTATGTTTGTGTTTATCCTAGTTTGAGTTCAATAAAGCTGTGGTTTTTCTATTTTTCTTCATTTCATATAAAAATTTCTCAAACTTTTTTGTATTTTGCAGCTCCACAAATTATTGTTGTACCCTTAATTGAGTCATTTTTCCTGATTCTATGCTTTGGCATACATTGTTTGAATTGGGGTATTTGAAATTCAGTAATATACATGTCCATATTGTTTATGATGTTGCTTTGTCTAGATGTATGTAACACCAATCACTAAGTTAGAGATTCTAGGAGACTCAAACCTGTTCTTAAGATGTGTCTTCTCTGTACATTGGGACAGAAACCAGTCTTTGCATAAACCCTCAAAGGACAGAAGTGTGGACTCATACTCCACTCTTCTGTTTGTTCCCTGAGGAATAATTCAACAGTTAGAATGTCGCATCTGATTGCATCATACTATATTGTAAAGGAAGAGAAATTGTGGTGGCAAAATTACTAAATGTTCTCATCTATGAAACTCATTTTATCATTGGGTATTCTGCAAAGTCTTAGCTGTTTTTTGAGTTCTCACACAGGCAATGTGGTAAGGATTTTCTTAACTACATATAGTTATGAAGGAGTGGAAACCTGTGATTTATATTCACCATTGTACTTATGTCATTAGCATAGTATAATATTATGTTAGATTTTTAAAGGATATTCACCTGAGTCTAGTATGTGGAATAAATTTTTATTTTCATTATTTTCAGCTGTGACTTTTCCTTACACTGAGGACCTTTTGCCAGAGGAGAGTATAGAAGACTCACTTACAAAGGTGTCATTGGGAAAATATGAAAAATTTGGCCTTGAGATATTACACTTTAAAAAATCTTGGGAAAGTTTGAATGAGGGTGAAAGACAGGTAGAATGCTAAATTGCAGACAACCATTACAGATGTAACAAGTGTGGGAAAGTCTTTCATCAACACTGCAGATTAGTTATCCGCCAGAGTATCCATATTTTTGAAATGGCTTTCAAACATGAATATGGCAAAACGTTTAACCGGTCTTCAAAATGTAGTCAACATCAAAAAAACAGTGGAGGAAATGTACAGAATATATGTAGGAAAGTGTTCAGGAAATCATCTTATCTAAATAGACATGAAAGACTCCACAGGGGGAGAGAAAGCCTTCAAAAGTGAAAAACGTGGTAAAGTCCTTAGCTATTTATTACTCAGGTCATTCACAACATGAGAAAATTCATAGTGGAGTGAAACTCTATAAATGTGAAGAATGTGATAAAGCTTTTACTTGGTATTCACATCTTATTCACCATAAGAGAATCCATACTGCACATACACCCTGCAAATGTCAAGTATGTGACAAAGTCTTTCATCGGTACTCAAATCTTATTCAACATCAAAAATACTATACTGGAGCCGGGCTCGGTGGCTCAGCCTGTAATCCCGCGCCTTTGGGAGGCTGAGGTGAGTGGATTGCCTGAGCCCACGGGTTCGAGACCCGCCTGGGCAGCGAGACCTCATCTCTACAATAAATCAGAAATCAGCTGGGTGTGGTAGTGCACGCCTGTAGTTCCAGCTACTCAGAAAGCTGAGGCAGAAGGATCTCTGGAGCCCAGTGGGTCGAGGCTGCAGTGGCCAGGAGCGGCCACTGCACTCCAGTCTGGGTGACGGAGTGAAACTCCAACTCAAAAAAAAAAAAAATAATACCATACTGGAGAGAAATCCTACAAATATGAAGAATGTGACAAAGTTTTTCATTGGCCATCAGGTCTTATTCATCATCAGAGAATTCATACTGGAGAGAAACCATACAAATGTGAAGAATGTGGCAAAGCCTTTACCTGGTCCTCAAAGCTTATTGAACATCAGCGTATCCATACTGGAGAGAAACCCTACAAATGTGAGGAATGTGGAAAGGCCTTTCGCACTCATTCAAACCTTTCTCAACATATGTTGACCCATACTAAAGAGAAGTCATACAAATGTGAAGAATGTGACAAATCCTTTCACATGCATTCAGCCCTTGCTCGACATACTATGATCCATTCTGGAGAGAAGCACAACAAATGTGAAGAATGTGGCAAAGCCTTTTCTTGGTCCTCAAAGCTTATTGAACATCAGCTTATCCATACTGGTGAGAAACCCTACAAATGTGAAGAATGTGGCAAGGCCTTTCGCTCTCGAGGAGGATTGTCTGGACATAAGATAATCCATGCTGGGGAGAAACCCTACAAATGTGAAGAATGTGGCAAAGCCTTTTACTTTCAAGGAGGATTAGCTGAACATAAGACCATTCATACTGGAGAGAAAGCCTACAAATGTGAAACATGTGGAAAAGCCTTTCACTCTCATTCACTGCTTGCTCGACATGTCAACATCCATATTGTTGAGAAACCCTACAAATGTGAAGAATGTGGCAAAGCCTTTTTGTCCCATTCGAAGCTTGCTGGACATGTCAAGGTACATACTGGGGAGAAACCCTACAAATGTGAAGAATGTGGCAGAGGCTTTCACTCTCGAGGAGGATTTGCAGGACATAAGACCATCCATACTGGTAAAAAACCCTACAAATGTGAAGAATGTGGTAAAGCCTTTTACTATCAAACAGTATTTTATAATCATAAGACCATCCATACTGGGGAGAAACTCTACAAATGTGAAGCATGTGGCAAAGCCTTTTGGCATCGTGCAAAGCTGGCTGAGCATGTCAAGCTGCATACTGGGGAGAAACCCTACAAATGTGAAGCATGTGGTAAAGCCTTTCGCTCTCGAGGAGGATTTGCTGAACATAAGACCATCCATACTGGGGAAAAACCCCACAAATGTGAAGAATGTGGTAAAGCCTTTCGTACTCGAGGAGGAGTTGCTAGACATAAGACCATCCATACTGGAGAGAAACTCTACAAATGTGAAGCATGTGGTAAAGCCTTTGGGCGCCGTTCAAAACTAACTGAACATGTCAAGGTGCATACTGGGGAGAAACCCTACAAATGTGAAGCATGTGGTAAAGCTTTTCGCTCTCGAGGAGGATTTGCTGACCATAAGACCATCCATACTGGGGAGAAACGCCACAAATGTGAAGAATGTGGCAAAGCCTTTCGCACTCGAGGAGGATTTACTAGACATATGACCATCCATACTGGGGAGAAACGCTACAAATGTGAAGCATGTGGCAAAGCCTTTGGGTGCCATTCACAACTGACTGGACATGTCAAGGTACATACTGGGGAGAAACCCTACAAATGTAAAGAATGTGGCAAAGCCTTTCGCTCTCGAGGAGGATTTGCTGAACATAAGACCATCCATACTGGGAAAAAACCCTATAAATGTGAAGAATGTGGGAAAGCCTTTCGCTCTCGAGGAGGATTTGCTGGACATAAGACCATCCATACTGGGGAGAAACCCTACAAATGTGAAGAATGTGGCAGAGGCTTTCGCTCTCGAGTAGGATTTGCTGGACATAAGGCCATCCATACTGGGGAAAAACCCTATAAATGTGAAGAATGTGGCAAAGCCTTTCGCTCTCGAGGAGGATTTGCTGGACATAAGACCATCCATACTGGGAGAAACCCTACAGATGTGAAGAATGTGGCAAAACCTTTCATTCCCAAAATGGATTTGCTGGACACATGATTATCCATCCTGGAGAGAAACCCTACAAGTGAAAACTATGCAGAAAAGCCTTTCATTCTCACTCACTACTTAAATGACTTGTCAAGATTCATACTGTTGAGAAAGCCTACAAATGTGAAAAGTGTGGCTAAGCTTTTCATACTCATAAAGGTTTTGCTGGACATAAGACCATCCATACTGGAAAGACACCCTGCAAATGTGGCAAATCCTTTTACTCAAATGATTTGCTATATATATGAGGAGTCATACTGTACAGAAACTCTACAAATGTGAAGATTGTGGCAAAGCCTTTGGCTCTCATAAAGGATTTACTGAAAATAAGACTCCATACTGGGGGGAATCCCTGCAAATCTGAAGAATGTGGAAAAGCTTTTTTCTCTCACAAAGCATTTGCTAGACATAAGACCATCCATCCTGGGGAGAAACCCTACAAGTGTGAAGATTATGGCAAAACCTTTCACTCTCAAAACGGATTTGCTGAACACATGAGCATCTATCCTGGAGTGACCTCTATAAATGTGATGAATGTGGCAAAGCCTTTTGTTTTCAACTGATTTGCTATACATATGAGGAGGCATAGGGAAAGAAACTCTGCAAATGTGAAGAATATGGCAAAGCCTTTCACTCTCATATTTACCGAACATAAGACCATCCATACTGGAGAGAAACCCTACAAATGTGAAGAATGTCACAAAGCCCTTCACTCTCACAGTGGATTTGCTAGACACCTGATATCCATACTGGAGAGAATCTCTACAAATGTGAAAAATATGGTAAGCCTTTTCCTCTCATATACCACTTGCTTGACATGTGATAATCCATACTGAGATGAAGCTATATGAATGAGAGGAATGTGATAAAGCCTTTAGCTCTCTACAATACTTGGTTGACATGTGAGCATCTATATTTAGGAATTCCCCATAGATGTGCACAATGGGATATACCTTTTCACCATTATTCCAAGTTTTCTCAACATTATAGAATTTATATTCTAAATTTTCAGTATCTGTAATGACTGGCAAATCATATATCAAGTTATAAACCATATAGAGATGGTGAGAAATTTATAGATGTAAGGAGTACCATTATTTTTAGTTAAACCATGGATCTTTTGCATGTACAAATGTAAAAAATGCCTAAAGGCATTAACTAGTTAAAACTTTGTTTGACATTAGACTGTGCATTGGAGAGAATCTAAAAATTTAAAGAATGTGGACTGGATTTGTTCAAAATATATGCCATTGGAAGCCCTCACTTGATGCTATGCCTTCATTCCTATTGTTTATGTAGAAGCATGGGATCAGTTGCTACATTAGAGCTGTGATAGGCCCTTGTATACTAGATGACCAGCAGTCAGCTCATGTTATTTCATGGAGGTTGAAGAACACTGATATGTAAACTCCAATAACAGATCTAAGTGGGGAGGATTTTTGTGGCTCTCATTGAGCATCAGAAGTTCCATGTGAGGTGGGTGCTCAAGATAACATACTTTTCCCCCGGAATAAATGACAAACTGAGTTTTAGAAATCAGTTGTCTTATTACTGACATGTTAAGGAGAAAATGAGGTCAGACCATCAATATCTTGGTCCATCTTTATAGTATCCATAATTGCAAGCCATAAGTATAATTTGATATGGAATAAATAGATATTTTCACAGATATCAGAACAAAGATAATTGCTTTCTTAAAATGTATGTATTGTAAGTTTATGTTTAGTAGAAAGTCAGATTCAGTTTTGAAAACTGAAGAAAGCTGTTCATGCATGGATCACACTATCAGAAGAACAGAAATACTTGAGTGTTTGTAAACTTTTTGCTAGCAAGTATACAGTGACCTTTGGAATGTTTATTCAGCTATGTAAACTTATTTGTTTTAGTGAACAGAATTCTTCATAAACCATTAACAATTGTTCACACAAAAAATTGTTATGCTGCCATTAGTGTTAATCTATTCTTTCTTACTCATGATTGAAGGTAAATGATGACCATATACTATTGAGTAACTTATGAAATGATGTCTCTCGATCCCTTTTTATAGGTTATATAAATATATATATATTTATTTAGTTTTGTGTCATTATGGTTACTGTAATGAAGATTATACAGGAGTATAATTTTAAGACATACCTTTCTGAATCCTAACCATTGTAAAAACATATATTATTATGTATACATTGTATTTCTCTTAGCCTACCAGGCACATGAAAACTTGTATATATTATTTACACTGAATGAAATATACAAAATTATCACTCTAATGTTATGAATATGAGAGCTAAAGAAGAGTAAATTGATTTTTGTGTGTGAATGTATGCCTAAGTTGCAAAAGACATTGTTGGGAAAAAAAATAATTTAAAATCTGAAAGTAAATTGATTTTACCTGCTTCACATTCAGTTTATTACACTAATATCCAATGGCTTCTAGTTCAGAATCTTCCTATGGACATCTTTTTGACTTGCTTTACAAGGGTATGCTAATAAAATGATCATTCAGCCTACTTACAAATTTCAAGAATTTTTTAATAATGTAATTGAATGATGTTTGGAAGCATTATAAAAATGTAATTCACAAGGAGTGTATTTAGTTA